AAGGCATTTCCCCTGAGAACTGTAATGAGACATGGTTTTCACTTTCACCACTTTTATTCAACATAATACAGGAAGTCCTAACCAGAACAGTCAGGCAAGCAGAAGAAATAAAGGGAAACTGGAAAAGAGGAAGTCAGACTGTCACTGTTTGCCATTGATATGATCCTAAAAACCTTAAAGACTCCTCCAAAACACTCCTAGATTTGATAAACTAATTCAGTAAAATCTCAGATTACAAAATCAATGCACACAAATCAGTAGCTCTGTTATACACCAACAGTGACCAATCAGATAATCAAATCAAGAACTCAATCCCTTTTATAACAGCTTCAAAAAAACAAAATACATAGGAATATACTTATCCAAGGTGAAGGATCTCTACAAGGAGAACTACAAAACACTGCTGAAAGAAATCATTGATTTGTGCATATTAATTCTGTATCCTGAAACTTTGCTGAATGCATTGATGAGTTCTAGGAGGTTTTTGGATGAGTCTTTAGGGTTTTCTAGGTATATGATCATGTCATCAGCAAACAGCAACAGTTTAACTTCCTCATTACCAGTTTAGCTGAGAATCAAATCAAGAACTCAATCCCTTTTCAATAACTGCAAAAAAAAAAAAAAAAAGATACTTAGGAATATACTTAACCAAGGAGGTGAAAGACCTCTACAAGTAAAACTACAAAACATTGCCGAAGGAAATCATAGACAATACAAATAAATGGAACATATCCCATGCTCATGGATGGCTAAAATCAATATTGTGAAAATGAGCATATGCCAAAACCAATCTACAAATTAAATGCAATTCCCATCAAAATGCCATCATCATTCTTTACAGAACTAGAAAAAAATATCCTAAAATTCATATACAAGCAAAAAAGATCCCACAAGGCAGCAAAAAGAACAAATCTGGAGGCATTATATTACTGGATTTCAAACTATACTATAAGGCCACAGCCATTATAACAGAATGGTGCTAGTATAAAAACAGGCATATAGACCAACAGTACAGAATAGACAACCCAGAAATTAAGCCAACTGTAAGTGGTTTTGTTTAACAAAGCAAACAATAACAAAGTGGAGAAAGGACGCCCTATTCAAAAAAATGGTGCTGGGATAATTGGCAAGCCACATGTAAAAGAATTAATCTGGATCCTCATCTCTCACCCTGTACAAAAATCAACTCAAGATGGGTTAAAGACTTAAATCTAAGACCTGAAACCATAAAAATTCTAGAAGATAACATTGGAAAAACCTTTCTAGACATTGGCTTTGGCAAAAACTTCATGACCAAGAACCCAAAAGCAAATGCAACAAAAACAAATATAAATAGATGGGACTTAATTAAACTAAAAGCTTCTGCACAGCAAAAGAAATAATCAGCTGTGTAAACAGACAACCCACAGAGTAGGAGAAAATCTTCATGATCTATACATCTGACAAAGGACTAATAGCCAGAATCTACAAGGAACTCAAACAAATCAATAAGAACAAAACAAACAGTCCCATCAAAAAGTGGGCTAAGGACATGAATAGGCAATTCTCAAAAGAAGATATACAAATGGCCAAGAAACATGAAAAATGCTCAACATCACTAATTATCAGGGAACTGCAAATCAAAACCATAATGTAATACCATCTCACTCCTGCAAAAATGGCCATAATAAAAAAAAATAGATGTTGATGAGGATGTGGTGAAAAGGAAACACTTTTATACTGTTGGTGAGAGTGTAAACTAGTATAACTTCTATGGAAAACAGCGTGGAGATTTCTTGAAGAACTAAAAGTCTATCTACCATTTGATCCAGTGATCCCACTGCTGGTTATCTACCCAGAGGAAAAGAAGTCATTATGTGAAAAAGATAACTGTACACACATTTATAACAGCGCAATATGCAATTGCAAAAATACGGAGCGAGCCCAAATTCCTATCAATCAACGAGTGTATTAAAAAATGTGATATATATATGTATGTATGTATATATATATATATATATATATATATATATACACCTACTCAGCCATAAAAAGAACAAAATAATGGCATTTGCAGCAACCTGGATGGAACTGGAGACCATTATTCTAAGTGAAGTAACTCAGGAATGGAAAACCAAACATTGCATGTTCTGATCTCTTCCTTTATATAAAAATCAACTCAAGATTGACCAAAGACTTAAACCTAAGACTTGAAACCATTAAAATTCTAGAAGATAACCTAGAAAACCCTCTTCTACACATTGACCTAGGCAAATAATTTAGGACTAAGGCCCCAAAAGCAAATGCAACAAAAACAAAAATAAATAAATGTAACCTAATTAAACTAAAAAGCTTCTGTATATCAAATAATTATAACAATCAGAGTAAAGAGACAACCCACAGAATGGGAGAAAATATTTAATACAGCAATTGTCTTTGAAGCAGTGGTTCTCAAGGGCAGGGTGGCAGTTTTTCTTCTCGAGATATTTGGCAATGTCCAGAGACATTTTTGGTTGTCACAGCTGGAAGACAGGGACCAAATTCAAAATCAGTAAAGAAAAAATACTTCTTAAAACCCTATGTATGAAAATTTAAAACATATTTTAAATAATTTATTAGTCAAAAACATTGCTAATAAACATGTAAATGATGTTTAATTGCACTCGTAACTACAGGAATTCAAATTGACAAACAGCATATTATTTCATATACAACAATGACAAAAGAGTAGAAACAGCAGATGCTGTTAAGAATGTAGAAAAATAGGAATACTTATACACTACTGGCTTTGCATAAATTGATGAAGCCAGTTTGGAAAACAATTAAACAATATCTAATAAAATTGACAATATATCTCCTATGACTTAGCACTTCCTTTTCTAGGGATATAATGTTAGAGAAATTTTCACACATTTATACAACGAGATATGTATAATGTTCTATAATTTAAAAAAACAGATTGGCATAGTATAAAAGCCTGTTAGGGAAGGGATAATTAATTATAATAAATTTATTCAATGGATTACCATTTACAGTTAAAATAAGTGAACTAGTTTTATAAGCAATATTGAGCAATTATGAAATTATAAAATTGAAGTAAAAATAAAAATAATTTGTAGAGTTATTCTTTTAGATTATGCTCTTGATGTAAAACTTTATAATGCACAAAATAAGAGTATATATTATTAGGGAATACTTGTTTACATAGTAAATATCTTTAAATTAGGACTAGCAAGAATACATAGGATAGTAGTTCCTGCTGAGGAACAATATAAAAAGCTTTTAACCAAATATGTGGTTTTATTTATTGAAAATATATACATAAATTTTAAGTAAATATCAATGAGTAATTGATGATAGTGAGCATAAGAGTGTTCTTTGTATCATTTTCGTGTGTATATTTGAAACATATTTATAACTGAAGAGAATAAAACATACAGAAGCTAAAAATCATTATGCAGTGTTATACCAAGCAAATACTTGACTGCTAGACAAGATAAGCAGATGATGCTAGACCAAGCTTAAGAATCATTTTTGAAAGAATCTTTCCTGATATTCTCTCTTTCTCCATTCTTCTTTCATTGTTTCCAAATTGCTTGCTTAAAAATTAACCAGTTGCTTTGTGTCATAATATACCCTACTTCTATTAAATTACATGTTTTACTTATTTATTAACAGTTATTCTCATCCTAGAGACCATAAACTCTTTGGGGTGAGAGACTATATTTCATATATCTATCACCTATGCATAGTTTAGTGGCTGACAAACAGTAAGCACCAAATAAATATATGATGAATGAAATACTAAATGATTGAACAAGATTCCGAAGGAGGAAGAAATTTGTAAGGGATAATTTGCCTACATTTTAGTTTTGATGTGATCGACACTATATATGCTCTTGCCAGAATCCAATAATAGGACATCCAATCAGTCCCTGTGCGTTCAAGTTAGATTTTGCTATATATAACTGGCAAACTCAAAATAACAGTGGTTTCCTTTAGAAATGTCTTTCACACCAAAAAGAAGCCTGAAAGAAGGTAATCCAGGGCTGCTGTGGAGGTTCCACAGTGTCAGGAACTCATGTTTCAATTATCTTTCTATTCCATCATCTTTATTGAGGTACCACATGAACCAAAAAATACTGCTCAAATTTCATCAGTCCCTCTTTGTTTACTTCCTTCCTTTCATCTTTTTTTCTGTTTCTTTCTCCCTTATTAATGTGAATGGACAAGAAATGCTTAGCCCTGCTTTTGAAAGGAGACTTCCTAGAGGTACTCTGTGGCACTTCCCCTTGTGTCTCATTGACTAGTACACAGTTAGTTGCACGGCTGCCTGGAGATGTAAATGAGGCTGGGAAATGTCTTTTAGTTACATGACAGTGTTTTCAACTGAAAATTGTGGTTAGTTCGGTTACTAAAGAGCAAGAAGAGAATGGACATTGGAATACAATTAACCGTCTCTGAGTTTTTAATCACTTTTGGATACCAAAATGAGAAAGAGCTTTTCCCTTAAAGGGAGAGCCTGATGAAAGAGAAAAGTGAAAGCCTATTAGTTTACTATTTGTGTAAGCCTTCACCTAACAAGCCAAAAATTAGAAGATTTTATGTTGAACCTAATTCCTGTCAACTTTAGTTTTGCTCTCAAAGACAAGATATTAACCAAATATTACTCATGTTTTAGAGTATCATTTATAAATCTGATATAGTAGGATTCTTTTGCCATTTTGCTTCTGCCAAATGATATAAACTAAGAAATAGTTTGATTTTTGGTTCTAGGGCAATGTTCATAAATTTGGTATTAGCCAAAGTGCTAGTCTTGGGGAAAAAATGAGGCAGTAGTAAAATCAGAAAGCTAACCTTTTATAGGAACTTAATCCATAAATAGCAGACTTCCCTTGGGTGTTTAATCCTGGTCACTGTTTCTGGTATTGGTTATTCTCACTGGGCAGTACATTTGTAATGAAAAGTTTTATTTTTTGGAGACTGGAAAAATAGTTATTCATTAGTCTTTTATCTTCCAGGCTCTAAATTATCTTGGTATTCAGCCCACAAAGGAACAACACCAAGCCCTGAGACAGCAAGTACAAGCAGACTCAAAAGGGACAGTGTCTTTTGGAGGTAATATTAGGTTTATTGTGTTGTATTACTAGAATTACTGACCTGGCAGGGTCAGCAGAGAGAAGAACTTTATTAGGACCTTTCAGCTCTAAACATCATCCTTTTTATTCTTTTTATTTTTCATTTATTACATAAACATTTCTTTAGTGATAACAAAAGGAACAGTACAAAATATGGAAGTTCTAATTTTGCTATTGTGAGATTAATTCTAATCCTTTTCAGCTAATATAGTAAGTATTTTTATGATGCTATGTAATTATAGTCATCCCTTAGTATGGCAGGGGAATTGTTTCCAGGACCCCTGCGTATACCCAAGTCCGGCCATACTAAATCTTATAGTCAGTCCTGCAGAACCCACATATAGGAAAAGTTGACCCTCCATATATGTGACTTTTGCAATGCACAAATACTGTATTTTTGATGCATTTGTTTGAAAAAGACTTCATGTATAGGTGAACCTGTGCAGTTCAAGCCTATGTTGTTCAGGGGTCAACTCTATTCTTATTAAGGATACCATAATGTACCACTTAGTTGTTGTACTATAGTATTAAGCCTTTCTACTATTGTGAAATTTGATGGTTTCTCAGTAGTTGATATTACAAATCTGTATTTATCATCATTGTGAATGTAGCTGTTTTTCTTTCTTAAGCCAAATCCTCACAAATGGTTTGGACTTTTGATACATATTGGTAAATTGTTTTTCAGAGATATTTTACACATATATTTGTTCTACCACCAGTAATGTTTGAATGTAACACTTTTTGTCTTCTGTCACTATTAAATATTTAATTTCCTTGTATAGTAGATGTTTAATTTTCTTGTATAGTAGACATAACATTGTATCAGTATCTGTATTGCTGAAAAAAGAAAATTGACCTTTTGGTTCTGAAGTGATACAAAAAAGATATTTTTATCCCATCTCCTCTTGAAAATCATTCCAAAATAATAATGAAAACAAGAAACAGAAAAACACATACACCTAAAACCACAATATCTAAGGACAGAAAATGGATGAGGAAAGTAAATGAATTAGTGAGCAAAGACAGGTAAAACCCAAGTGTGTGAAGAGAGAGGAAAATTGCAATAAGAAACAAGTTGATTTGACCCTAAAATGATTTAGGAATTGAAGACGTCAGGTATTTCTGGAGACTGAGTTTTTAGGCAGGATATTAAAACAGGATGGTTAGAAATCTTAAGAGAATTATGCATGCTTTTCTCTGCCCCTTCTCAAGTAGTCTGGCATCACGACTCTACACCTCCAGGGGAAAAGAAGTATATTCCTTTGTGAAATTAAACCAGAGATTGTGGACCTACAGTTGGCAGCAGCAAGGGAGTGTGTGGAGTATATAGTGAGTCATCACTCATAATACACACACAGATTGCTCAGGGAACTTTGCCGCCATGTTTATTACTGTAGGCAGAAAACTATAGTATTCTCTCTGAAGAAGCTGAATAAAAATTTCAGCTGGCCACCAGATTGCCCTGTAGTAAAAGCTGCCAGTTGACAAAGCAAGTTACACACATAAAATTTCCAACCAAAATTTTTAGTGCCAGATTATTAAATATGAACTCATAGTCAAGAGTCACCAGAGATTTGGAGAAATCCTCCAACGTAAAATATAGAACCCAAAACTATCAGGCAAACAGAAAAAAGGAACTCAGAAAAAAGAAATAAAGAAGCTCAGAAGAGACTTTAGGTCGGAGGCCGGGTGGAGTGGTTTATGCCTGTAATCCCAGCAATTTGGGAGGCAGAGGCTGGCAGATCACCTGAAGTCAGGAATTTGAGAGCAGCCTGGCCAATATGGTGAAACCCTGTCTCTACTAAAAATACAGAAATTATCTGGGCATGGTGGCACATGCCTGTAATCCCAGCTACTAAGGAGGCTGAGGCAGGAGAATCGCTTGAACCTGGGCAGCTGAGGTTGCAATGAGCCGAAATCTCGCCACTGCACTCCAATCTGGGTAACAGAGTGAGATTTCACCTCAAAAAAAAAAAAAAAAAAGAACTTCAGATAAACTCTCATAACATATTTAAAAAGATGAGTGAAGGTAATGCAACCAGGAAATAAAAGTAGTATGTTGCAAAACAAGAACAATCAGAGAACATTTAAAAGGATGCTTGGAAAAAATATAATATCCAAAGTGGAAAATATTTGAGGATACACAGATGAATAGGTTACTCTCTGTGTCAGAAGCAGCCTATAAACTGTTATTTTTCCTTTTTCCAAGTGTCCTTGGACAGTTTAAGACATTTAACCTGTCTTAGCCTCAATTTTTTTTTTTTCATCTGTAAAATGGACAGGATAAGAGGAACTACCTCAGAAGACTGTAGGGAGGATGACATTGCTAAGCAGTATGCCCGGCATACAGCAACTGTTACATAAACATTTGTTGCTATAAAAAAAATAACAAAATAACAATAATAACAATTGCTATCAAACCTCAGGTTCTTCCAGCTAGAAAAGCCATAAATCATAATATTGTCATATGTTCCAGAAAAAGTTCTACTCATAATACAAGAGTTGAAACATTAAATATGTCATGATATATATTTGTTTTATCTTAACTGAATTGTTAATTTTAGCAAAGTTAACTGAGTAAGTACAAACCAATTCGTCTGTTCTTATTTGAACTTACATTTATCTATCACTTCAGTCAGAACTATTTTAAGATAATTCACGTGGGTTAAATTTGAAGTATGAGCAACTTCATATAGAATAAAGTAAAATTTATTTAGAAGGGGTTAAATGCTGTGTTCTTACTTAAATGTGTTCCATTTTAGATTTTGTCCAGGTTGCCAGAAACTTGTTTTGCTTGCAGTTGGATGAAGTAAATGTCGGTGCACATGAAATTTCCAATATATTAGATTCACAGGTAGAGTATGCCCTATAGAATTACCTTGACACATGTAAGTCACAAGTCTTGAATGTTATATGTCATATGTATAGGCTTTTTTCACTTAAAAATAGAAATAATACATATTCCTTATGTAAATATATAGATATAAATCAATTTAAAATCAAAAGTAAAAGTTCATCCTGATCTTCATTCTCTTCTCTCACTAGCCTCTTGTGCCATTCCTATACCTAAGTTTACCAGTATTGACAATTTGATATGTGGAGGATACATACTATAACTAGCTAGCTAGACAAACAGATACCATGTGTGCATGTATCCATTCTCATCTGTTTTGTCTCACTATAATATACACACGGAAAACACCTCTATATTGTGTATATCCTTTGAAATTTTACAGTTTAAACCATCCTCATTTAATTAGCATCCAGATCAAGAAACGTAAAATTAAATAAATACATTACCAGATGCTCTCCTACCCCCAGGTTCCTTTCTGATTACTAATGACACCCTTATACCCCCATAAAAAAATGAACTACTCTTTCAACTTCTAACAGTGTAGATTGATTTTGCCTCTTTTTGTGCTTCATGTAAAACATAATTATGAAGACTATTAGCTTCAATCATGGGTTCTATATAAGTTTGACCTTTATATTACTGAATATTTTAGTCCTTTTCATTGTGGATTTTTGGTAGTATTATCCTCTTAAAGACTTCCTTCTTAATTTATATTCTATATAATTTATATATTTAATTGACTCAAAAATTTATTCTTATTTGTGCATGGCGAACCATGCATAAATGCCACTTGTTTTTGTTCCACCATCATTTATTTAAATGCCCATCTTCATTTATGCCATTGATTTGAAATGCAAAATTTATTATATACTAAATTTCTATCTAGATACACAGATCTGTTTCTATATCTACAATTAGAATGTTTCTTAACTTAAAGTCAACTTAGTCTTATGATATAGTTATACCAACTTTTAATTGGTTGATTTTTTTTTTTTTTTTTTGGTTTCCAGTGATTAAAATCATTGGATAAATGAATATATTTCTTTTTTAAAGAAACCTGTTATTATGTAATTCTTTTAAATGTTACCAGTAGAATCTAAATACTACAGTATTTTATATGCATAACCATCTATTTAAAAGAAAATTCATGCATTATTCTTTTATTCTCAAAACTTGATCTTTTCCTTTTCTCTGTTAGCTCTTATTTCTATTCCATATATACCTGGAATTTTATCCTGATAATATATAATCGCTGTCCTGGGAAATGATCACCCTATCGTTTTGCTGCAAAAAAAACTTTAAATGAATGAAAATTTATTTGTTTTATTTTCCTATGTTTATAAGGCTTTACAAATTAAAATTTTCTTCTGTATTGAATTATAGTCATACTTATTGGTACATAATCAATAAAATTAGAAATAATAACTTTTGATCAATTATTTTTATGAATATAATATTAAAATATAAATTTATATTTTAATGGGATGGAAGAATTCTTTTCATGCCAGCTCTGTCCCTTATGAAATTACCATATTTAACTGAGAATTTCTGGACTCTTAATTCTGGTGGTTTCTTGGCTTCATAAATCTTCATAAATCTTGATATCTGATGAAATATGTTCTCCTATCTTATTTATTTACTTTTAATTGACAAAAAATTTTATATACTTATGTACATTTTGATTTAGAATATGTATACACTGTGAAATGCCTCAACTGAGGTAATTAACATATGCATTACCTCAAATAATCTATCTTTTTTTTATAGTGAGAACACTTAAAATCTACTCTCTTAGCAATTTTCAAAATGCAATACGTTGTTATTAACTATAGTCATATGGTCACCATGTTGTACAATATATCTCGTGAACTTTATTCTGCTGTCTTATGGAAATTTTATGTCCTTTGTCATCACTCCAAACTGCCCCCGCACCCTTAACCTCCAGCCATTCTTTTAAAATATTGCTTTGGCTAATCTTCAGTCTTATCTTGTCCATATGAGTTACACCAAAAATCTTGCTCTATTGAATTTATAGATTATTTTGGGAAGAATCAACATCTTTATATATTTAAGTTTCTGTGAACATGTTATGGCTTCTCAGGTATTTATAGCTTCTTTGATGTCAATATGTTTCATATATTTTTAAAATTAATTATATTTTAATCCAGTTACCTTATACTTTTTGTTGCCATTAATTAATTATATCTTATAAAAATGGTTTTATTTTAAATGTATTTGTTTTTATATAAAATTAAGTTTTATATATTTACCTTATACTTTGCAACTGTTATACCCATTTGCTTTTCATCTTCCAGAAAGTAATCAATATTTTTTGTTCTAATGCTACCTTTTCTGAATTGCTGATAGTCTTATTAACTCATGTATTTCTTTATTTTTGTTTCTGTTTTCAGATATACTTTTAAATAAATAATATGGTCAGTCAGGTTCTTTGAATGCTGCTAGAAACCCTAAATTCATTCAGAAGAATAGATGTATTACATATTTTTAATAACTTTTTCTTTTAGTCAAAGTTTAAAAAAAATTGTACTTTTATTTCATGGTTATATTTAGAGGTCTACTGTTTTCAAGTGATACGCTTTATTGACGAGAAGTTTGCATATTATATATTATTAATTACATAATTGCAAATTCTAGAAAGAGTATGTAAGCATATGATTAATTTATTGACCAAAAAGTCTGACTGCCCATTTAAAAAATGATACATGTCAGTATTTTTAATGTTTCAAGTCAGTTTGTTCTCTTTTGTAAGCAATCTCTTTTACTGCTAAGCATGTGGCCCGTTGCAATCACCCAAAGATCTAGTTGTTTCCTAACCCTCAAGAGAGTACCCAGTTCTCCCAGAATGAAGCACTGACATAGAACTAATTTGGTAGCATTTATTCAAAGAGAACTAAAGCTGTATTCAAGGAGCATAGTTTTCATTCTGCTGATTCAGGTGTTATGTGTTTATCTACCTAATGTTGATGGTAGGGAGCATTGTTTTTTACTGCCCAACAGTTCTCAGAGCTGCCATGCCCATTTTTGATGAGGAAGGCAAAGATGGTTGGGTGGTTTGCAACATGCCAATGGAGTGGGCAATTTAGAGTATTTTCTATGAGCATGCAAATCTTTTTTAGCAGCCGCAAATGGATTGTCATGCTCCAAATTAGCAATTTATTTCCTCCTTACTAATGTAATTTTAGGACAGATAAGAATGTGTTTATAGTTTTGAAGTCTTTGGGATAAAAAAAATAAAAAAGAATGTGTTCAACCTGTGATACTTTAATAGCAAAAGCAAAGTGCTAATGGCAATCATGCAAGATGTCCTACATGTCAATAATTTCCAGCCCGTGGCTTCAGGTCAAAATGTTGTGCAATGGAATTATATTAATTTTTTAAATTTTTTATTGTATTTTTTTCAGTTGAGTCCACAATAAAAACACATTTTTTCACCATACTCACATATGTAACTGAAACAAAAGTCTGTCAGAACATTAGTTACCTTTTCCGTGTACATTGCATTTTAATTTAATATTCACTTGTATCTCATTCAAACTTTGGTTTCACGATTCACTAATAGGGGATGTAACAGTTTGAAAAAACATAAAAATCACAATGATTGTCATGTAGCTCACCAAAAACAAATAATAAATAACTGATTGTTTTGTAGTGTAATTCCCTACTTTTTTTATTTCAAAAGTGGTTTAATCCCCCATCTGAAGTATGTCAATTAATTTATAGTTGTGGATGCTGACTATCTATGAGGGTGGGAAATTCCACTATGGTTATCCCCTCAACCATCTCAGTTTCACAGACAACAGGGTTGGGTCATTCTGTTAGGGATGCATATCTTTTAGTCATATGTCTTCTTTCTTTTTTTTTTTTTTTTTTGGCTGATAAAAATGGCTTCTCTTTTTTAATTTCTTTTTAAAAATATTACTGAAATCTAATATATACAAAATAAAGTAAAAAATCTAAAGTATACAATTTGATGAATTTTTATTATATATCTAACATGGAATCATCACTCAAAAGGCTCCCTCCTGTCACATTCCCAGGCAGCCGCCTCTCTCACCTTTATGTCAGAACCAATATTTTGACTTAAAACAACATAGGTTATTTTTGCCTTTTATTGAATTTCCTAATATATAGAATTATAGAATATGTATTCTTTTGTAACTTGCTACTTTTGATCATTATTTTGCCTAACTCATAATATCTCTTGAGATGCTATCTTTTAAGTAGGAATGCTGAGTCAGTATAAGTCAGTCCTACTTTGTTCGACAACTTTTGAGTTTGGAAGAATATGACATTTAGAACCAAAAATATAATTATCTTACTGTGAGTCTAATCATCTTTGCTACATTAGAAAATTCACACAGTGCTACACCTGCTGCTGGCACAAGGTTATATGCAGAAAGGGCAAGACTGGAGCCCACAGTTAGCAGTACTCTAAACTTAGCAATAGCAGAATATAGTCCATCATAATATGATTTTACCAGACCAATCAAGTACTGTATCATGAATGGATTATCTTACAATTATAGAGAGAACACTGAATTCCCTAAAATAGATTTTTCACAGTTTGAGCTCTTGTTAAGTCAATTTAGTGGACTGCTACTACCATTTTAAACAAGTAAAATAGAACATAATGGAAAATATCAAAGTGATTTGTCTATGATAAGACTGCGTAATGTTTCACTTATTCTGAATCACAATATGTATCATATTTCTCACCATGTATAGTGGTAAAGACTTTATAGCCACTTCCCTAACTAAAACACCAAATATACATTGAACAATTGCAGTGTCCATGTTTTGTTATGTGCACGTTATTAAGATAAATAAAACTTGGCCTACATATTTTAATGAAAACGTGTGTGCCCAAATAATTATAGTAAGAAAAGCTGCATTGTGTGGCAAGGCTATAAGAGTAATAAAGCTTAGAACATTCAGAGAAGGTTTGTAACAGAGTTGGCATTTGAGTAAAATTTGAGGAATAAATAGGATTTTATGTGCTCAAGAGATAAGCAGGGAGTGATAAAAGTATTAGCATAAACAAAAAAATGAGAATATAATGCACACACAGAGTAGTCTACTTTAAAAAAGATAATTGGGTTCATTCAGGTGACAGAAGTTATGCCTTAAAGGGTAAATATTAAATTTAGAAGTTTGTACTTAGTATTCAGTGAGGAGCCATTAAGGAAAACAGTTAAATGACAAAAGTGATATTTTTTGGAAAGAGGAATTTTATGTGTTGGTTACATAGGAAGGGAATGAAAGTGGTGGTAGGTAGTCTAGATAGAGGATTATATAAATAATCCAAATATAGGATGATGAAGAACTAAAGTACAGTGAAGAAGGGGAGAACAGAAAAGAAAGTGATAGTTAACTCCAAAGTTTTGACTAAGATGACTAAGAATATAATAGGTAGCATTAATAGAAATAGGGAAATAAGAAGAAAGCCCTTTTCAAGGTAGAGACAATGACAGATTGTATTTTAGAGAGTTTAAGAAGCCAGCAAGTGCAAATAAGCAAAGGCCACTGGAAATTAGGAACTGGACAGTAGGAAGGAATTTGGGAATATTTTGAGAGTAATAGTTGAGGCATAATAGTGAATGTTATCACTCGGAACTTGTAGAGAAAAGGAAGGAAAGGGACAGACTTTGGGGAACCTCTCAACCCTCTCTTCTTCTAAGGAGTAGAGATGAAACCAACTCATTGGAAATAGCCTAAATGTCCGGAAGGGTAGTTGAGATATTAGGATATCACAATCTAAAGAAGATAAAATTTCAAAGAAAAAAAACCTTCAACAATGTTATATATAACAACGAAGAAAGTTGGTTGGGGGAGGGGGACATTTTCTTTGTCACGTAGCAGTTTTATTAGTGAAATTGCAAGTAATCATTTTAGAAATATAGGAATGAGAGGAAAGAGGTATAAGCCAGATTATAAGTGAAATGAATGAGCAGGGAAATGGAAGGAGAAAAAAAAATAACCCAGAAATTTTTAGGTGAATAGAGGTGAATACGATGGTAAAGTCACACAATTTTATAAGGAAAGCGGGTAATTGAATAGGTCTCTAATAGAAGGCCTTATCAATAAAATTAGACTGACACTAAAGTTACTGTTTTGCAACTGCTTCTGTTTAAGATGAGTTGAGATTAAGGAATGTAGCAGTAGAATAATAGCTATCCAGAATTGATACAAGTCAAGTAACTTAAAATATGATGGAGCAGCAACATGAAGGGAGAGGTCTGATTAGGTCAGACCTAATCACAGTCCAGTGACCTATAGTATGTATTTCTTGACATCTCCAAAAGGAGATTCTAGAAAGCCAAGTAGAAATGATTTACAGTGTTACTTACCAGCTGTTGCAAAGTTCAGGGGATCCATGGATCACAATGATGTTGCGAGAACCAGACAGTTAATAGGTATAGAAGGCTAAGGAATGTAAATTGCAGTAGTTAGAGGTAGATTTTGGAAACAGAGATCTGTCTGGAATTGTTACTGTGAAACAACAATTAATTTGCTGCTTTCTTAGATGAAGTATATTTGAATAGAACTATATAAAAACGTCATTGAGTACAAAAGGGCTTTTCAAAGAATTCACAAGGAACATCCATGGCCAATTCTCTGGCTACAGGTTTTTGCTGCATAGTCCAAAATAGCAGTCATTTTTTTTTTTTACGTCATGATTTGTTCTAATAGTCTAGGCTTTGCCTCTCAAAATAGTACCATGGATTCTTTTATTCATGATTTATCTCTATGATCTTAAGCTCCAAAGTTTATTATCACATCCCTAAAATCCCAATCCATAGTTTCTCTTAATAAATTATTTTAACTTGGTATCTTAAAATTTTATTTAAACTTTCCTTCTTTTCTTTTCCTTTATTTATTTATTTATTTATTTATTTATTTATTTATTTATTTAGACATGGTCTCACCCTGTCACCAGGCTGGAATGCAGTAGTGCAAACTTGGCTGACTGCAGCGGTACAATCTCAGCTCACTGCAGACTTGACCTCCCACCCACCTCAGTTTCCCAAATAGCTGGAACTACAGGAATGCACTGCCATGCCTGGCTAATTTTATTTTTTGTAGAGACAAGGTCTTATTATGTTGCCAAGACTGGTCTCAACCGCCTGGCCTCAAGCAATCCTCAAGCCTCAGCCTCCCAAAGTACTGGGATTACAGACCTGTGTCACTGCATGCAGCCTTATTTAAACTTTTGAGTCTTCCTTATTTCACTTCTTAGGATAAGAAGATAGAATAGGCCCATATGAATGTTGAGTAGCAACATTGAGTTTCTCAGATTGTGCTTTGTATACTTTAGTTCCATGAGCTAGTACAAAAATAAATAAATGAAGGCAGCAGGGTGACAAGGTTGGGGGTTTAGAGTATGGTGAAATTACTGAGGAAACATGACAAGTTATTATACTTTTTTTTTTTTTTTGGAGATTCAAATACTCACTAGCATATTAAGGCTGTTGGAAGCCATGCAGGAAATAAGGTTAATTTTTTAAAGCTCGTATACCACTATCACCAGCACTACTACTCAATTTTGCTTATACACAAAGCCTGTTAATATCCTTTGGAACACACTTGGGAAATATTATTACATTTTAAAATGTGTTCAAAATTAATCTAACAATACAGGAATGAATTCTTATGAGTGTGTGTGTTGAGTACTTCTGAGACAACAGAGTAGCAGAGACATGAAGAATGTAGATCATATAAATCATGGGCAATGTCCATAGATACCCAAAAGCTAATGTGACAGAGCAAAAAGAACCAGTGATATTCAGAGAAATAAGTTCTCCACAAATGTGAAGAATAACTCCCACTTCTGTTATTCTAGAGTTTGGAAAGCAAATATGAGTTTGATATATCCATTCCACCATGCTTTTTGTTGAATCGTTAGGAAAAACTCAGAGACTATGATTTGTGGAACTCTTGGATTGGCCATTTGTTAGCTGTGAAACCTTAGGCAAGTTATTAACCTTTCTGAGCTTGTTTCTTCATCTGTAAAATGGAGACAAGGTGATTCATACTGAAAATATAGAGTCCTTAGCAGTGCATCTGCATATAAGTTTCCAATACGTCATTGATATTATTAATTAATCTTACTATTTTTTTTCTACTTCACATTTGCCTCACCTATCTAAAGGGCTCTGTTCTAAGCCCATGCTTAAATAACAACTGATTTCTCCACATAATCCTTTAAATTATATTTTCTTTAGTTGTTATAGCCTCCACATAGGAGATGACTACAGTTAAATTTGGACTTTATCTCTGATTAGACTGTCATTATTTTTTACATTGTAATTGACTGTCAAAGAGATCATGCTAGATGTAAGAGAAATGGTCATCTCTGCATTTTTGTTGTTATTCACTTGTGCATAATTATATTTTCTTCAATCTACAATTTCTGTGCAGGAATCTTTTTGAGCCACGTATCTGTTGCATTACATTTCATTAAGTTAAAACCAGACACATAACTGATAAATATTCTTTACTAGGCTCTTGTAAACCATCTGATTTTATAATGTACAGCATTTTGTTAGCCTTGGATACTATGCTATTAGAATGAATGTGAGGGAATAGTTTTTGTTGGTAATTCCTGAAGTCTTTTTGACAATAAACATAGTCTTGGAATTTGGAATTCTCAGGAAAATTATACTGTTGAAATAATGATAAAGACAACAACGAAATCAAAATTCTGTTTTGAATAACAACAATGTAAAGTTAAGCCTAAATGAATGAAATTGCCCCAGGTTGCTTTAATATTCCCTTTTATCTAATCATATGACTCCAAAGTAAGAAACTGAATTTTGTTATTAGAATGCAAAGCCTAAGACTAGTTAGGATTTTTATGTTAGCTCTCATAATTAGCATCTAATGCACAACCTTTCTCTTGTATTTTAATGTTGACAGCTTCTTCCTTGTGATTCTTTAGAAGCAGATGAAATGGAAAGGCTCAAGCGTGAAAGGGATGATGCCTTGAAAGAAGTGAATACACTTAAGGTAACCTCTAATTTAGTTTCCTTATGTTTTCTTCAGAAAAAAAGAAAAAGAAAAATATTCTGTATTGGCTTCTGAAATATTGGGGCTTAATTTTATTTTTAATGGAAAAATATTAATGTCAAATAGTAAGAATCAGATTCTTTATTCAGTTGTCCTTTAGAGAAATTAGTTTTTGGTCTACATGTTTGTATTTCACAATATCTGTATAACATTTAGTGTGAACAATGGTTTCTGCTCATGTCTTCTGTTAAGGTTCCTTCTTAGCCTTTTTATCCTCTCTCATTGGTGGCCAGGGCAGAATTAGATGAAGAGCCAATAAAGCAAGTCATGACAATTTTGGATCCTGTGAGTTCATTGGGAAATACGTTTTCTTTTCACATGCAGGCCCATTCTTCAGGGACATCATGTTTTGCTAATGTAATTTGGAATTAAGACAATATTATTTAAGAGAAGAAAAAAATACATATCCCAAATATAACATTTTACTTATCTTTTTTTGTTTGGTTGATTTTTTGATTCTTGGGGTTTTTTTGTTTTTTTTTTGAGACAGGGTCTTACTCTGTCACCCAGTCTGGAGTGCAGTGCTGCAATCACATCTCACTGTAGCTTCAACCTACTGGGTTCAAGCAGTTCTCCCACCTCAACCTCCCAAATAGCTGGGACAACATGCCCATGTCACCATATTCAGATAATTTTTTTTTTAATTTTTATTTTCTAGAGATGGAGTCTCACTATGTTGTTCAGGTTGGTCTCAAATACCTGGATTCAAATGACCCACCTACCTCAGCCTCTTAAAGTGCTGGGATTACAGGTGTGAGCCACTGTGTCTGGCCTTGATTCTCTTTGTATGGTTTCATTCTGTTTTTAGGAGAATATTGCATTTAAATTATATCCTAATTTTTACAGAAAGCTATATTTTCCAAATCTTCAGGAAAAGCAACATAACTACTTTATTTACCACGAATTCACCATAGGAATGTACTTTTAAAATTATTTTATTAAATAAGGTATATTATATTGATAATTATCTAATTTTTATTAAATAGAAAATCTTTACACCAGAAAGAAAGAAAAACTTTTTGCAACCTTAGTTTTTACAATTCCAACCTCTAGAGGAAGCCATTATTGCAAATAATATTATTTATCTTTTCATAGCTTTTTTTCTACATGGAAAATTATATTTTTTAAAATAGACAAGGCATGGTGGCTCACACATGTAATCTCAGCACTTTGGGAGGCTGAGGCAAGAAGATTACTTGAGCTCAGGAGTTTAACATCAGCCTGGGCAACATAGGAGGACCTCATCTCTACTATTTAAAAAATAAAAACAAAAATAAATAAGTAAATATATGTATATGTAGGGACAGGGAGTATTTGAGAAATCTCTGTACTCTCTTCTCAATTTTGCTATTAACCCAAAACTGCTCCAATAAATAATAAAGTCTTAAAACATTTTTTTTCAGTATGTGTGTATTTTCACTTCTACGTAAATCACCTCATCCAGCCACACTTTTTTTTTACAACGTGCCTTCTTTTTTCTCTCTCTTTATAAGAATTCTACCTCCAGCAGCTTTTCAGGTTAATATACACAGATCTATCAGATTCTTCTGGATAACTCCCCTATACATCAAATGGTCATTTAGCCAGTTCCCTATTGATGAACATTAGACTATTTGTAGTTTTTAAAAATAATTTTATCTTCAACAGCTTTGTAGATATATGTTTGGGCATTTGGAGAAGTATATACATGGAATAAATGTCTGAAAATGGAATTGCTTTATTAGAAGATATAGACACTTAAAATTTTGTATATGTTACCAAATTCCCTTTCAAAAGGTTTTGCCAATTCACATTCCTTCCTAAAATATATGAGCATTTCACCACTATAAGAGTATTCCATATATTTCTTTTTTTACCTTTGAAACCACTATCTTTCCACATTTTTTAGTGCATCAATTAAGTGTTTAGATGGAAAGTATAAATTTAGTTTTAAAAATACATTGACAATGGTTTCTTTATTTTCCCTTAGGAAACTTTCCCAGTGTTGATTACTTTAAGAAGATAACTTTTTTATGTATTATTTCTACCTAAACCATTAGACTTGTGGTTTATCAGAATGTTCAGAGGCTCTCAGATCTTTTTCATTTCCTTATAGTTTATCATTTTAAATTTAGTAACATGTTTCAGTTTTATTTTAATATCAATAGTAATAATTAGAATGTTAATTTGAAAGTATATATGCCATATTAATTAACATTTAAACTTCCCCGAGGAGTCATTCAATAAATCAGGATTCACATTTGAAGTTCATGAAATGTAACTGAATATACCCTACTATGACAAAACCTTAACTCCCAGATAAGCCAGCAACCATCTAGCTCAGTTAGTTAGAATATGGTACAAAAATCCCAGATAAAACAAATTTTACATTTTTTAATTACCTTTACCTCCAAACCTATGTATAGGCTGACCAATTAAAGAAGCTATATAAAGTAGTATAAAAGCAATAAATATTTTTATTCAAGGTAATGTTTTTATTTTCAGTTTTTCTACTTGCATTATACAGTCACAAAAAAAGCAGAGGTTGTTAAATGACATTCATAAAGTATGTAAATGGTGTCTCATCACTTTTTATTATCCTGTAACATCTCTATTCTTCACGTCTGATACGAGGTACAAACAAAAGTGAAACCAAGATAATTTTATATCAATGGCTAATTTTTATTTTGCAAGAATGATTTTTTAAAGTGCTGTGGGCTTTATTTTAGGAAGCCTTTCTGCAAAATTCACATTGCTACTGCTTTGCAAAGGGTGAATGGAAAATAGATATATTTTCCATTAACAGATACACAAAAACTAGGGCACAAAGAGTGAAGGTGACTTGCCAGAACATAAAATCACAGGAGCCAGCAGTCTCTTGGCTCCTCGTCTGTGGCATATTCATTAGATTGCTATATTATATTCATCTTCATATACCTTCATTTCACCTCTTAGACAAGAATAAACTGAAATATACCAGAAAGGATATTGCCTCTTTTAAACATTGTAATATTGCTATGAATTTTTACCACTCAGTTTAATGTTCTAGCAATTCCTCTGTTCTGGTTTGTATTTAATGCCTCTTAAATCACTCTTAGTATTTCTATTTTGGCCAACAAAATGTGGATTTATTTAAGATATACTTAACAAAATTGGACATTACAATGCTTGACTTAATTTCAAATCCAAAGATATATTTTATATGCATCATATTAATCTTCATAACTATTATTTTATATTTTGGTTACATGAGTCATATCTTCCTTTTCATTTATAAGATAATTTAATAAAATTATCTTGGTTTCATAATTTAAATTTCATTTATAATTTAATTCGATTCCAAGAATAAGCTAAAATTAAATTACAAAACTAAGAGGTGAGCCAGTCTCATCATATGCCCTCTTTAGTATGGTCGAAGACCTTTAATTCTAATTTGTAATAATTATGCTCTTCAGTTTGGTATCTCTTTGGCGATGATAGCTTAACCAAAATTCAGTTAATATTTACACATTTTTATTTTTTTTATTTTTATTTTTTTTTGAGACAGAGTTTCACTCTTGTTGCCCAGGCTGGAGTGCAACAGTGTAATCTCAGTTTACTGCAATCTCTGCCTCACAGGTTCAAGGGATTCTCATGTCTCAGCCTCCCGAGTAACTGGGATTACAGGCATTGGCCACCACATCCAGCTAATTTTGTATTTTTAGTAGAGATGGGGTTTCCCCATGTTAGGCAGGGTGGTCTCGAATTCCTGACCTCGGGTGATCCTCCCACCTCTGCTTCCCAAAGTCCTGGGATTACAGACTTGAGCCACCATGCCCGGCCTTGTATTCTTAACTGGTTTCTGTTTGAGCTTATGTTTTAACATTTTGCAAAATTAAGGTAATAAAAGAGTGTATTTACATCACAATGTACTGTAAATAATTACTTTTAAGTGCCCTATGTAAAGCCCGAAAAATGACTAGGAGCAACATTTTCAGATTGTACCAATTTGATATTTGGGGAATATAAGCTTTCAAACAAAGAACTAAAAAGTCATACATGTTTATACTTTCATAACAAGTTGTTAATTTGATGGTTTTTAAATATAGGAAAAATTATTGCAATCAGATAAGCAAAGGAAACAATTGACAGAGGAGCTGTATAATGTGAAACAAGTAAGTACATGTATTGTGTAAATGTGTGCTCGTGTGTGTGTGTAGCTGTGTACATGTGTGAATTTATGAGGTGTAATTATAAAGCAGTGGTTCTGTATAATATCCCAGAGTTTCCTGATACAAATTATATAATACAAAATAGCATAGATCTTAAAAGCAATCACTTTTGGAGGCTGTACCTGTGCTAAAGTCTTGCTACTATTGCTGAAAAAAATGTTAAAACCTCTTTGAAATTGTTTTGAAAACAAGATATCCAGAGGCCAAAATAACCAATCTCCTTACTTTTCCATTATTTTTTCTTTTCTTTCATTTCCCCTTTTTTCCTTTTCTTTTTTCTTTGTTACTTGTACTTTATTTTACTAAAGAACAAAAAGCCTTGAAGTTCTTGTATCAGTTTGCTGAGAATGATGGTTTCCAGTATCATCCATGTCCCTGTAAAGGACATGAACTAATCTTCTTTTATGGCTGCATAGTATTCCATGGTGTGTATGTGCAACATTTTCTTTATCCAGTCTATCATATATGCGCATTTGGGTTGGTTCCAAGTCTTTGCTATTGTGAACAATGCTACAATAAACATACATGTGCATGTGTCTAGGGCAAGAATGGCAGAGGGTGGAGGGATTGGGGAGGGATAGCATTAGGAGAAATACCTAATGTAGATGACAGGGTGATGGATGCAGCAAACCACTACCATGGCACATGTATACCTATGTAACAAACCTGCACGATCTGCACATGTACCCCAGAACTTAAAGTGTAATAAATAAATAAGTCTTTAAGGCAAGAATATTTTTAACATTTATTTGTTGGTAATAAAAAGCAAATATTTATTTCACTTTGCATTATTGTTCAAAGAATTTGAAATGGCTTACTATAAAACAAATATATGACAATATCATAAAATGAAAACCCAAATGACAAATAAAATATAAACAGGAGAACATTGTTAGAGATCAGCAGTGATCACCTGACTTTGAATCTCCCTCCCATACTCCCCCTAGAAAACATAAAAATCAACAAAGAAATCAAATAGAACCATACAGGACTCATATTTTCAATATGACTGTGACAGAAAACACCACAGTCTTTAAAGTATGTATAAATAAAGTAAGAAAAGTAGTAATTCCAACAAACCTGTTGCAGCTTGCCTGTACTGAAACCTGGGATAGAGAGAACAGAGGAAGCAAGGCTTGAAAGACTCTGAAATAAAGAGTAGAGAGAAACAATGAATTAGATGAAGAACAAACAAAATCACCCCCAGAAAGAGAAAGTGTAACAATAAATGCCAGAATACTGAACATAGGTCAGGACTTGGTGGTTCTTAGCACTAGCTACAAAAAAAAAAAAAAAAGAAGAAGAAGACTTCAAGGTATGGATGCAATCAGAAATGGCAGCCTTGAAGAACCATTGCTTCTGGGAAAGAATCAGATAAATAGAGAATGGATAGAATTCCTTGGAGACTAGGCAATGATGGGAAAGAAGGAAATAAGAGGGGAAAATTAAAGATCTTATAGAAATGAAATCAGAACACAATTTACTCATCCACCCACCCTACCCTATCACCATCAACAACAAGATCCATAAAAGAAACGGCACAGAAGAGGGTACTCTTGAACTAAGAAGTTTTTCTATGAAATAAAAAAGATTAGAACAAAAATTCTGTCCCCATCATTATAAAACAACTGAAAAAAATTAGATGATATCTATGAAAGCTTTCCTCCTAATGAAAACTTTCCAAAACAATTTAACCACAAAGCTTAAGAAAACTGTGATGTTACACTCCATGCTCAAGGGGATATCCTCAAATAAGCATTTGGGGCTAAGAAAAAGATACTTCAAATCAGAAACTTAAAAAATAATAATAGTAGATATTGACCAAAAAAACAAAACAATAACTCAGGAAAAAGTGAAATGAGAGTTGATAAAACTTAGAAAAGAAGGAAGAGACAAAATCATATCAGTAATGAAAACTAAATTACAAATTGCCCCAGGAAGAATATAATCAAGTGAAAAGACAATGAAGAAAACAAGATAAACAACTAGGAAAGTGAAAATGAAATCAAGACATAAAAGCCAATAAAAATAATTGAACGGCACTAATACTTAGAACTATAATCCAAGAAAACTTTCTAGAATTAAAGTAAGACCTGAATCTAATATCAGGTACAGGGGAAATCTGACCTGGAAAAATTAACTCTACAATATATTCTAGTAAAATTATTAGACTTGAAGGATAGAGGGAAAAAAAAATGCACAGTGCCTCCAAGTAAAAAGATCAAATAACTTACGAAGGCAATAGAATTAGACTAGCATCAGGTTTCTCAAAACAACATGCAAAGTAAGACAATAGTGGAACAACATTTTCAAGACACCAAAGGAAAGAAAGAAAGTATACAAAAATGTTGTATACAGCCAACCTAACTTTAAAATATCAAGGCCATAGAAAACAGTTTGGACTATACCAGTACTAAAATGTTTCCAAACAGTGAGAATTTATTTTATTGCATAGGTGAGACTAAAATAAGTCAGTGCATGGATGAAAGAATAATATGTCAACATTACACGTGTTAACAAAAGTCAAAAGATGAAACATTTTTTAATGGGAGAATAAGAAAGAAAAAAGAAGAAAACAGAATACATCATTTTGTTGCATAAGCAAAGAGTAGCCACCAACAAATATTGCTTAAAACTGATATCAGGTAAAAAATAGAGGAGATAGCAAGCACTTAAAAAGTAATAATGCAAAGGTAACCCAGAATGAAAATCCAAACCTTTATAAATGCCAAAAAGAATTGTTTAAGTAAAAAGGATACACAAAATAAAAATGCAGTAAATATACACAATAATTTCATCATAAGACAATTTGATAGAGCGACCAAACATAATGGTTATCTTATTTTACATGAATAAGATCAACTCGCCTATTTTTAAAAAAGTTTTTCAAAAAATATAGTTTGCCAAAACTGACCAGAGTAAAGATAGAAAGTCTAAAAGGCCATTTTCTGTAGAAGAGAGAAAGTAAGTTATCAAGAATCTATGCTAGATAAAAAGGCCAGACAAGATGGTTTTACAGAGAAATTTAACCAAACCTTTGACAGTTAGTCTCAAAACTGTATAAATTGCTTCAGAGTGTAAAAAATGAAAGAAAATTTTCAAATTATTTTCATGAAGCAAGTATAGTGTTGATGTATAAACTTAATAAAAATAGCACAAAAAAGATATAGTTAGAAAAGAAAAACAATTAGAAGCATGTGACTTGGAGAAGAAAAGATAAAACTATTTCTTTTTGCAGATGATATAGTAATAATCTGGAGTACCCTAGAGAGATAAAAGTAAATCGGTAAGTTGATAAGCAAGCAAGATATAAAATTAATATGCAAAACTAAATTGCATGCATATACACAAATAATAACCAATTAGAAGTTTTAATAGTTGAAGAGAAAGTAAAATTATATAGATAAATAGGCAAAATACCTGAACAGATAATGTACCAAAAAAGCTATAAAAATATTACTTAAACAAATGAAGATACTCAATCTCTTTCTCTCATAATAAAAGAAATGCTAGTTAAATCTATACTGTCATAGAACTTCTAGCCTCTAAGAAATTGTGGAATAAGACTCTGACAGAGGACAATAAAAACACAACTCCAGAACCTAAACGTTTAACAATAAGCAACTACTAAAGGAATTGGATAATGAGCATCATCAGACAAATTGCTCCTCCTGGAAAAGAAGCAGAATATTAACATGTACCTAGAAGTAAGAAGTAAAAATTACATGAAACAGTATTCTTTTTTTTTTTTTTTGGAGTCCTGCTCTGTCACCCAGGCTGGAGTTCAGGGGCACAATCTCAGCTCACTGCAACCTCTACCTCTTGGGTTCAAATGATTCTCCTGCCTCAGCCTTCTGAGTAGCTGGGATTACAGGTGCACACCACCATGCCGAGCTAACTTTTGTATTTTTAGTAGAAATGTGGTTTCGCCATGTTGGCCAGGCTAGTCTCCAACTCCCTACCACAGGTGATCTGCCTGCCTCAGCCTCCCAAAGTGCTGAGATTACAGCTGTGAGTCTCTGCACCGGGCCTGAAAGGGTATTCTTAGAGAGGTCTCACTTCTTTCTGTATCTTTTATGAACAAGGAAAATTACAAATATACTTACTTATTTTTGTAAAAGAAATCAAAGGAGGGATAAACTACACAACAACGAAATTGATTACCTACAACATGGGTAGACATGCATGTTAGGGTACAGGAAAGAGTGACACCTCTCTAAGAATACCTTTTCATATAATATTTACTTTTGTGTACACATTAACATTCTACTCGTTCAAAAATATATTAAAATTAAGATGGAAAGGGGAAAATAAACCTAAAACTGCAAGCATACTGAAGCAAATGAATCTAATTGTATTTCAAATGAATACCATAGTTATAGCAAAGAAAAAAAAATGATAGAACCAATTCAAGTAACTGGTGAACACAGTATTTGTGTTCAGTGTTTTGTCAGGATTGGACTGAGTTGGGAAAGAATTTCATACAAGTTCTAACCCTTTTCTTTTGGTATGTCTTTTTGTTTTGTTTTGTTGTTTTAGTAGTGGGGCAAAGCAGCTCTGAAACAATTTTAGATGCTTTATAGATCTGAGCAAATGTGTTGATCATTGTTGAGAAGCAGAATCTCAATGAAAAAGAAAAGGCAAAATAGAATGAATGAAGCCAAGAAAGGATCCTGAGCTGGGTGTGGTGGTATGCATCTGTAGTTCCAGCTCCTTAGGAGGCTGAAGTGGGAGGATGGCTTGAGTCCAGGAGGTTCAGGCTACAGCGTGCTATTATGGTGCCTGTGACTAGCGACTGTATTCCAGCCTGTGCAACATAGTGACACCCTGTCTCTTAAAAGGAAAAAGAAAGAAGGAAAGAACCCTGTGGGATGGACTTTAATTGTATGTATCATTGTGAATACATTATTTCTTATATATGTATGTGCATATGAACGTGTATA